CGGGAGATAAACCCCGACACACGGGAGCAGGGCTGCTGTTCCTGTGCTGTCGGCCGAGGTCTCCTTGGGGACGGGCAGGGCTGTGGAGCACGGCGCCCGGGGCCGGGTGCTTTCACTGTGAGATTGGGTTCTGTTTGGGTTCCTCGCCCCATGTGGTATTGACAGCAGTGGTACAAACAAAGAACAGACCAGGCTTTGTTACCCGGGGGCAGCACCCAGCACCACCAGGCACTTTCATCTGCGGCCAGGGCGTGCCCACGGGTAGGGAGGCTGCCCCACCTCCCCCCAAACAGTATATAAACAGTCCTCGTTGGGGAATTTCCTTTTCTTCCTGAGCGGCCGGAAATGCAGGGCATTAGCTGATTTATCAATAAAGACCAGAACCAGTGAGAAAGCACCTCCTCCCTCGCAGGAGCGAGTCTGTGTGAGGGCCCTCCCACCGTGATGTACGAGGTTGTGCAATCCTCAGCATAGTTGGAATTTTCTCTCCGAGCCCTCCCCCTGCAGCCAGGCCCTAACCATGAGCAAGAGCTGTTTCCTCCTTAACTATTGCTCTTCCAGCGCCTACACTGAAACAGCAGTTCCACCTCTTAAAGCCCAGCTGTACCTTCGTGTCCATCAAGACTGAGCCCCTGGGGCCTGGAGCACAGGCTGTCCATTCAGGTTCCCCGGCCTGCTTGCTAGACTCCGGCACCAAACGGGTGGTCTTGGATAATTACAGTGAATTTTTCAATGTCAAGGGGACTGTAACTAGTTTGTAAAGTTCCTTTGGTCTCAAGATTCTGATTTTCTGTTGCAGAAGTCTCAGTTCACATGAGCAGGGTGACATACAAGGGACAAGTGTGACTACAGTCACCAGCACCTTTGTCCTGTACGAGGCAGCTTTGGCCATTAGCTGCACTGGGGAAGGCCACCCTTTAAGCGTGAGGAGATGGCAGTGAGAGTTCCTGGTGGGCTTTAAATAAGCCCGAGTCCGCTTTACGCCTATTTGGTTTATAATAGGCCCCTCTGCCACGCACAGCTGAGGGAGCCAAGGAAACGGGGCTTTTTTCCTCTCTTGTGTGGCTGGGGAGGGTAACAATTGGCTCCCAGAGTTAAAGGTTTTATATCGCTTATGCGCTGTAACCCTAGGGATTCTCCTTCTGCCTCCATCAAAGGAAACATCTGTCAGCTATGCTTTTACTGTTGCTGTTAAATGTCTTTCGTTTTTACAAGGCTGTCTGCTGAGAAATAAGAACTGAGCGCATCGCTTCCCCAGGGAAGGGGGGGGGGCTGGCTCTGGGAGAAGCCAATCAGGTTTCCCCGTCGCTCTGAAGCCCTCTCGGTCCTGGTCCTGGCTGCAGCTCTGTGACCCAGTGCTTGATCAGTAGGAGGCTGTGGTCTCCAGGTCTGGTTAATGTGCCGGGTCCCTCCCCAGGCAAGAGCTCTGTCCCGAGACTTAACGCCTTCAAGCCACATCGTGGTTTCAGCTCTGGCTCTGAGTCTCTGATCCTTTGGTCAAATCCTGTCTTTCTAGATTTTCTAGATCCTAACTTCTCTACCAAACAGTAGTCCCATCTCCTCATCACGGAGAGCCAAGAGAATGCATCCTGGGTGACTGCTCCAGGTCAAGGTGGATGTGTGAATGAGCACAAATTGTCCCACGGGAAGTGGCACCTCTCTTCATAGGAGAGTTCGGTTCTGAAATTCTCCCCTGGAAGCAGGGTCTGTACAGCCCTGATGTTTTCCTGTCGTCCAGTTGTCCTCACTAACCTGCGCTCATTGTTCTCCCTCTTCTGATGATTTTATGACGAAGTAGTTCCGGTTCCCACCTCGTCTTTGTCCCCTCGTTGAGAGATGTGCACCATGAGCCTGTGTACCCACAGCCGCCTTTCAACTACGATCTGCCTCATGAGGACAAAAAGGTACCACGTCCCCTCCTTGACCAGCAGGCAGCCAGAATTGAATGTGCCGCAGGTGACCAGCTCTGTCCCCGAAGTGGAGGTGAAGATGCCTTTTTGGGGCATGCACAGGGCCTGAACCTTAAGCTACTACTCTTTTAAAAATATATATATTTCTATTGATTTTAGAGAGGAAAGGAGAGGGAGAGAGAGATAGAAACATCAATGATGAGAGAATCATTAATTGGCTGTCTCCTGCATGCCCCTGACTGGGGATCGAGCCTGCAACCCGGGCTTGTGCTCTGACCTGGAACCAAACCATGACCTCCTGGTTCACAGGTTGACGCTCAACCACTGAGCCACCCCGGCCAGGCACTTGTGCTCATAAATTACTGTGCGCTGGTTTGGGCTCCCTAAGCCCTTGGAGACCCCCAACTTTCATAAGAAGTTTTGAGCTTGGTGTGTAAATGTGCATCTCAACCCCTTCTCATTTTAGCGAGTGCAGTTTGTGTCCGACCCCTGCAGCCTCTCTATAAATGGCCTGGTCTTTGGCTTGACGTCCACGGACCTGCTCTTCCACATGGGGGCCGAGGAGATCAGCAGGTGAGGCACGCATTCCAACCCCAGGCAGGACAGCTGGCCCTCCACCACACCCTGGGGCCATGGGAGGGGAGCCGTTGGAGCCTTTGTTTCTATTAGCACTTGTCTCTACCGTGTTTGAGACCCCAAAGAACCTTGTTGTCTGCATTTAATTTATGGTCATAGAAGTTTATCTGCTTTTCTCCTCCCACATTTGTGACCTAAATAAGGGTGGGCGTCCCCGTTGGTGGAGGATGACCTGTGAACTTTGGAAGCTGTTCCCCCACCAGAGCAGTGTGTTGCTCTGCAGAGAACCAGCTGCAGCCAGATCTGTGCGCGTAGGTTCTGCAGTCGTGTGAACATGGGCGTGTGCTTGTTGGCGGAGAGTTGAATTGTGAGGGTCACCCGGCTACACACTCCCTCGCTGGTGCAGGCGCTACGTGCTCTTGCACAACCCAGCGCTGGCTGACATGGTTTTGATCACGGGATTCCTGCTCTTTCCCTTCTTAACCCAGCATCCTGCCCCTCGTCGTGTGGGAGAAGACCGAGCTACTTGTGGGCGGGTCTTTAAACTTCCCCAGAGGGACCCTCTTGCCTTGGCCATGTAGTCTCCCTGTAGTTTATCAAATCCTCCCGAAGAGAAACAGAAACTGAAAAGCAAGGTTCTGCATTCCATTTCTTTCTTATCTGCCTTCCCCAGCGCTTCTGGAACTTCAGACAGATTCAGCCGAATACTCAAGCACATCCTGACGCAGAGGAGGTGAGCTCGCTTCCTGGAACCATGACTGGCCGTGGGGAGATTGCTTTGGGCTCATGGAGCTCTGGCAGATTTGATCATGAGAGCCTTCCCCAGGCCACTGCCAGGGAGCTCCCCCCTGTGATGACAAGCCTGTGTTCTGTCCCCCAAACACAGAGAGGCAAGGAAAAGAGCCTGATGGCGTGGGAACCCGCGACATCGAGGGCCTCCATGTGGGAAGGGGGTCCTGAATCTGGATCAGCTGCTCTGACTGTTTCTCTCCATCTCTGTAGCTACTACCCACTGTACCCTCCCCAGGAAGACATGGCCATTGACTATGAGAATTTCTATGCCTATGCACAGCTGCCCGTCACCCCAGATGTCCTCATAGTTCCCTCAGAGCTCAGGTACTTTGTCAAGGTAAGATTGGACTCTGCTTTCCCCAGACAGGCCAGAAGCAGTCTCTGACTTTCCCTTCTAGACCACCACACCCACTCTTCATGGGTCTGCTGACGGGGACGGTGGTAGGACTAGAAAAAAAATCTGTTAGTAAAACACTTCAGTAAATGACATCCCCTTGCTCCCCTCTCCCCCCAGAGCTTGGTGCTCAGTCAGCCCAGCCTGGGAGCCCCGGAGGCAGGAAGTATGGCCCTCAAACAATAGTTCTCAGGGGGCCCTGCCGGGGTGGCCTGGGGACCGGTTCACACATGCGCTTGCCTGCTCCACCCCTGAATTCTGGTTTGACCTCCAAGTGGCCTCAGCCCTGAGAACTTGGAGGTTGCGTCAGCGTTCTCATCTCTGCCACGGAGGCCCCGCCCGCCTGGGATTGGACCCCTGGGATTTGGGACTCCCCCAGCCAATCCCCCTCTTGTCAACCTCACATTGAACTGGCTCTGGGTTGGCAAGTGGTAAACTTTTTCACGTTGGGCAAGTGGTAAACTTTTTCACGTTGGAAATCAGCCAGGTCACATGTGTCTCCAAGTTTGGGAGCTGACTGCCATCTGCCTAGTGACCTCCATTCTGTTTCAGAGACTCCAAAGGAATTCAGTTTTCCAGTAATAAGTTCACATATTTGACTTAAGATGTGTCTTGTTCCATTCCTTTCCATTTTATAAAACCGTTTGACATGTGTTAGATAATTCCAACTTCGTCACAGCAGTCCTAGTTTTGGCCTTTCCAAACCCAGTCTCCTCTCCTTTCCCAGGACGTCCTCGGCTGTGTCTGTGTGAACCCTGGGCGCCTCACCAAAGGGCAGGTGGGGGGCACCTATGGCCGACTCTACATCAGGAGGCAGACCATGGACGGGGAGGGAAGACGGAGTCCGTGTGTTGCCGCCCAGGTGGTGAGGATCTGAGGCCTGGGGTGCTTTACCGTCCCCCACTGCGCGGGCCCTCGTGTAGCCGTAGCCGCCAAGAGCCCAGGAGTGGCCCTCTGACAAGATCCCAACTGTTGGAAGGGGAAGGAGCAGAGGCAGCCAACTGCAGGGGAGAGGGCCCGGCAGGGAAGGCGTGTGCGGCTGCCCGGGCTTGAGCGGCTCTGGGAGAACGGTTTTGTTTCTGACACACGAAGCCCAGAGCGAACTGGGCTGGGGCTGCATCTGCTCAGGAAAAAGTAGACGGATTGGTGACTTTCTACCTGACTCAGACACAGAAAGAATTCTTTGGAGTGAGAAATGAAAGTAATTTCGGACTTCTGGTCTAATCTCGCACTCTTTCTTTTTCCTGGTGGTGAATAAGAAAGTGAATAAGAAAGGTTGCCAGAGAAGACAGTGGCTGTCACCTGGCTTTCTGGCTTTCTGGCCGGCCCCAGCCTGGGTCTTCCTGAGCCCCAAGGCCCCCACGGCTCTTGCTGACGAGGTGCGCCGGCCCAGGCCAGGAGCGGGGCTGCAGAGCGAGCGGCTGGCTGCGTGCCTGGCCCTCCCGCCGCTCTCACATGCATACTGTGGTCCCAGCCTGACCTCTCCATCTGGAGGGGCGGCCTCCCGGAGCTGTGCCAAGGCTGGATTCCCCGGAGCTGGCTCCGCCAAGCTGCACAGAGGAGCTGCGCCCACCTATAGCTCAGAACACGGCAGGCCAGGCCTTCCAGGATCCCCAGCAGGTCGCGTGCCCGTGGTCCTGGCATCAAGGAAAGGCTGCCTCTGGCTAAACGTGGAGTGGGTTTCTGTCCTAAACTGGCAGACGGTCCTGCCTCACATGCCAAATCCAAGACAGGACACCCCCAGCTGCCGGGCCGAGGGAGCAGCGGGGCTGATGCCTGTGCCTTGAGTCAGAGATAAATAGGTAACCCAACAGTACCAGCCTTTGCCTCCCCCCTCCCGTGGAATCGATGACAGATCTGACGGGACTTGGGAGAACTGGTCTCTCTTTGAAAACAAGCAGCTGCTGTTGTGCCTCATTCGTTTTCTAGGCGCCTCCTCTGCAGACAAGAATCGGAGACAAGCCCCAGCTTGGGGAGCTGATCTCCCTCCCAGAATTCCCCACGCCCAAAGCTCCCGGCTGCGATCTGAGGGGCAGCGTGACTTGTGCTCCGGATGTGGCATTTTGGGGCTCAGGCCCCTCTTCCACAACATGATACAGTTGCCCAGTTCAAGAATGTCATCTTATTTCCACCAAGCGCCATGTCCGCTCGGCACGCCCCCCTCCTTGGGAAACCCTTGCTTGGGAAGATTAAGCAACAGGCCCTCAGCCATGATAAACAAGCCCTATCACGTGAGCCCGTGTGGCTCTTGGGGAGCCGTGGCTCTTGGCAGTTATTTTCATGCTGCTGCTGAAGAAGCCTTGAAGGGTAACATCTTGGTCCCCACTTGGCAAGGTCCAGAGAGGCCCCATCTCCTTGACCTACTCAGGAGGACCCAGAGGCCCAGTGGGATGGGGGCAGCTGGCAGAGGGGGAGGAGAGCTGCATCCTGGGGGGAGGCGCACGCAGGGCCCGAGATGCCGGGTGTGCAGCCTCCCGGGAAGAAAGCTGGAGCTGCCTGGAATGAATGGGATCGAGAGCCGTTGCCTGGATACAAGTCGTGTGACTTGGAAATGATCCGGGAAGGTCAGAGTAGGCATTTAAAACTTAAACAAAAAGCAAGCACACAAGAAAGCAGGGTGTGAAGCAGAGAACAGCCAGGTCTGGCGGAGGTGCGCCTCTGCCACCAGATGGTTCCCTTGTCAGGAAGTCTGTGCCCAGCAGCTGCCAGGCCCCTCCAGCTGAGTCACTGGTTTCCTAGCGTCATCCCTCTTGCTCACGGGAGCTCTTGCTCCCACCTGGCGGGGGCACGGGCCCTCTGGCTGAAGTTGGGGGGTGGAGGAAGCGAGGAGCCTTGGCTGGGCTTGGACTCCTGGGGCCCACTGCTTCAGATTCTTGGTAGAATCTCCCGGGTCCTGGTTGTGCCTTGTGTCCTTGAGAGACAAGCCCAAAGGTGAAGCTCTTACCAAGTTTCTCCTTCCAAACCTAAGCTCCAGCCCTGCCCTTTGCCTCTTCCTCACTCTGGTGGGGGAGCCTGAGGGTAGGGGAGAGCTGACAGCTGCATAGAAACCTAAGTGGGTGCCCAGAACAAAGCTGGGGAATTGAGGGAAGGGGCTCTGGGGTGAGGGCAGGGGCAGGGGCAGGGCCATGACCGCTCCTCAGGCCCTCCATTCTGCTCTGCCTTCTGCAGCCTCTTTGGACTTGGTGTTTCCTTTCGCTGCCTGACCTCGGGTCACCCGGCCAGCTCAGCTGGGCCCTGTCGCTTCCCCTGGTGCTGGGAGTAGCCATGTGGGCTGGTTTACTTCTCTGTTTGGGGCACATTAACTTTCCTCTGACCTGGGGCTCCTGGCTGAGCCACCTGAGAGCCACTCCGGGGTGGACAGTCCTGGCTGGTTGCCCCCCAGACTGCGAGCGCTCTAACTACAGAAGCCCTCCACTGACTAGGATTTTTTAAATATTTTTTAATTGATTTTTAGAGAGAGAGGAAGGGAGAAGGATAGATAGAAACATCATCGATCGGCTGCCTCCTGCACACCCCCTCCTGGGGATGAGCCAGCAACCTGGGCATGTGCCCTGACCTGGAATCGATCCAGTGACCTTTTGGTTCCTGGATCAATACTCAATCACTGAGCCACACCAGCTGGGCAGATTTTTAAAAAAAACATTTAAAAATTGTTATTGAAATATAAAAAGAACATAAACTTCACCATTTTAATGTGTACAGTTCAAGGGTTTTTAGTGTATTCACAACATAGTGCAAACATCACCACTGTCTAACTCCAGAATATTTTTATCGCCCCAAAAAGAAACCCCATCCCCATTAGCAGTCACTCACCACCTCCTCCCAACCCAGCCCTTGGGAACCGCGATTTCACTTCCTGTCTATGGCGTTGCCTGTTCAGGGCATGTCACATACCGGGAATGACACCACGCGTGGTCTTCTGCCGCTGAGCGGTCACACCTATCTGCTCCCTCTGGGACTGTCCTGGAAATAACGGCCCAGGGGCCCGTGGCCCGTCTGTCCTGGACACAGCTGGGCCCAGGCCAGCTCCAGATTTTTCTACCCAGACCCTCCCTTCTCCTCCGGCTCCTCCTGCCTGACAGCTGAGAACCCTGCAGCTGCCCAGCCCAGGGGCCTCTCAGAGGTCTCAGGGACAGCTGCTGCCCCGTGACCCTGCTGACCTCTGACCCCTGCACATGCTCCCTGAGGGCCCAGGAGTCAGCCCCCAGCCTTCAGGTCCCAGCTGAGCCTGTCGCCTCTGCCTGCTCCCAGGTCTTCCAGGGCCCCGTCAGCAGGCCCCACCCCAGAGGAGTGGGAAAGGGGAGAAGCAGGGTGGCCAAGGTGGGCTCCTGGCCCCGCAGCCCCGCTGAGGCAGTGGGGGTCCCAGGACAGAGCAGGCGGCAGCAGGGGGCGCACTGGGCCAGGGACTGGAAGGCAGGTCCGTTCCTGATCCTGGCAGCCTTCTCCCGAGGCCCTCTTTCCCCTGAGCATGCAAGTTCCCTTCAGATACCCTGCCCCTTAGGATGTGTCACTGACTCCAGGCTCTTCTACTTCCTGAACCTTTGTCTCCCAGAACCCCCTTCTTGCTGTCCCCAGCATCCTGCCATTCATTCATTCATGGGGCACCTGCTCTATGGCATACGCTTTGGGGAAACTGGTGGTTACGGTCCAGTGGCGGGTGCACATGGATCAGTGACAATGGCATAGAGAAGACAGTGGTCCAGAGTTCCTCCAAGGGTATATGACGGGCAGCGGGTCTGGAAGGCTTCCTTGAGTGGGAGGCAGCACGGCCGAGAGCTGCAGGACATGCAGGAAGTGGCCAGGTGAGCTGAAGGGAAGAGTGATGCAAGGGGACTGCCCTGGGGCTGGCACGGCTGGTGGGCCGGAAGGCCACTGTCTGGAGCAGAGGGAGTGGAGAGGTGGCTTGAGGCCTCAGGCCGCGGAGGCCTGCAGGAGCCCTGCCCAGGGTGTGTGGCGCGAGCATGCAGCAGGGGCCTGGGCCGGCAGGGTGTTGTGCATCATCACAATTGGGGAACGGGCAGGTGGCACATCTTCACTCCCAGAATCCTCTATGTCCCTTGGTGCCTCATCGTCCTCCTTGCCTCCCTGCCCACCCTCATCACCCAAGTCATCACCCTGGACTGGGTCTGACCCTCCTCCTCTCTCCATGGTTCTGGTCCATCACCAGATTCTAATATTTTGATCTTATTATCTCCAACCCTGGCTTTTACACCACAATCCAGAAGCAAGTCCTGTCTCTCTGCTGAACCAACTGTCCCCAAAGTGTCCCCTGCCTCCAACTGGGCCTCCGCCAGGCCGCCCTCTCCAAAGCGACCAACTCATGGAAAGGAAGTTCAAATGGCCCTGAAGCCTCTGACAAGATGGCCAAGCTCACCTGTCACGAGAGGCACAAACTGAGACTACACCGAGGTTCCTCTGGCTCGGTTTAGTGTTTACCTTTCAGACTGACAGGAATCAAAAAGGCTGAGAGCCAGGGGCTGCGGAGGCTGAGGGGAAACGGGCCCTGTGGTCCATGCTGGGGGCCTGGTACTTGGCACATCCCACGAGAAGGACAAGCAGACAGAGCTGACCAGATGGCAACTGAATGTGCCCTTTGACCCCCAAGCCCCTCCGAACTTATTCCACAGCTCACATGTGTGTGAAACAGCATTTGTGCAAGATGACTAACTGTGGCACAGCTTGTCATAGGAAAAGGCTGGGAACCACCGAAATGTCCACCAGCTGAAAACTACTTATGTAAATTCCAGTGCATGGGAATACTATGCAGCCATGAACAAGTGAAACCCAGGCCAGCCAGGGTGGCTCAGTGGTTGAGCATCGACCTATGAACCAGGAGGTCCCAGTTCGATTCCTGGTCAGGGCACATACCCGGGTTGTGGGCTCAATCCCCAGTATGGGGTGGGCAGGAGGCAGCTGATCAATGATTCTCTCTCATCATTGATGTTTCTATCTCTCCCTTCCTCTCTGAAATCAATAAAAATATATTTACTTTAAAAAGCGAAACCCAGGACATACTCTGTGTACTGACAGGGAGTGCCCATAAATATAAATAAACTGAAAAAAGGTGCAGGACTCGTGAATAGCAGAGGCTCAATAAAATGAGGTTTCCACGCCCCTACGAGTAAGTCCCACTGCCCCCGACCATGGGCCTGCTTCCCTCCATGCCACCAGGGCCTGCAGGACTCTGGGGCTCTACTTGTTCAAACATCGCCATTTGTGTAAAACACCCGGGAAGGGCTTTGCCTGCACATGCAAAGACTATCTCTGGAAGTGTTTACAAGAAACTGATAACGCTGCTTGTCTGTGGCGAAGAGAACGGGTGCCTGGGGACAGAGGCAAGAGAAAGACTTTTTTGCCTCTTATGGCTTCTGAATTTTGAACCACATGAAAGCATTGCCATGTCAAAAATAATTTAAACGTAAAACATGCAATTCTTATGTTGCACCTCCACACAGACCCTTAATTCCCTTCCCATGGCATTCAGCAGTTTTCATGAGCTATCACTTGCCTTTAAATTATTCTATAAGGGGAAAGATTCTCAGTGGCAAATGACAGAAGCCCCATCCCAACTGGATTAGAAAAAAAATTATAATTTCTTGGTCCATAGAGTGGATTCTGCTTCAGGTATGGCTGGATCTAGGATCGCAAGCAATGTTATTGAGATTCATTCTCTTGGCTCTGCTTTTCTCTGTTCAGGCTTTATTCTCAGACATAATCTTTCCTTGTGGTGGCAGATCTAGTCACGGGCAGTCCTGGGTTTGCATCTTGACATTTGTAACCCTAAGAGTCCCGGCAAGTCCCAGGCTGAAACTCATTGGTGTCATATGCCCATCCCTATGACTCAGGTTGGCTAGGCCTGGGTCTCAGGCCCACTTTTAGAGCTTGGGGGTGGGCTCAATCAGACTGGAGATTCTGGAAAACTGAAGGGCGTCACCACAATAAGGAATGGAGGCTGGACAAGGAAAACAGCCCTCACTCCCTACCCTCCTGGACTTTCCTAGGCCATGGTCTACTGGACATCTCTTGTTTCCTGATCACGCCATGCATCTACTTGTACTCCTCTTGGCCTCTGCCTCTGCCTGCTCCCCCTGGAACAGCCTTCCCTTTATCTG